CCAGCCTTTTATGTTCTTGACCACCTTAGGTGGTTCTCCTCCACTCCCAGCTGAGACACCCAGTCCCACCATTACACCCCAGTCCTTGTTACCCAAAACAACACCACCTTCCACATTTGTATTTCAAGCATCTCTTTCTCTGGGAGACTTTACACCTCTATTGTTCTAGCTCAAATCTGACCCCTCCACAATCCTATGAGCTCATCAGGGCCTCAGTCTATTGAGGCTACACTGCTCTCTATCTGTCCCTTCTTTCTCTCTCCTTTCTTTACCCCCTGATCTGTCAATCACTGCAATCATTTTTGTCGCACATTCTCATCCTCACCTTGCATTGTCTTCACCTGCAAATCTACCTAAGTAATTAAACCACCTTTCTATGTACCTTGTGCCTGTGCTCAAACAGTTAAATATGGCTACAGAAAACATGATTTGTCAGCTGGTTGTATTTTAAATTTATGAACAGGAATCTCAAGTGGGTGTTAGCACTGTTGATCAAAATCTACTACTTCTCTCATTTATATCCCTCTTTCATCCTTCAGGAGGGCTATTTTTCTACTTGGTTCAAAACTCCAGAGCTTGCCTCTTCTTATTCTCAGCTGAAGACCTTTTTCTTAATTCATTGAGAAAGCAGAATCAACAAGAAGAGAATTTTCTTTTACAACAGCCACTAAATCTATCCACGGACCTGTGTCTGAAAGCATGAACTTGGCCTTTTCCTCTTGTTACAGTAGCTGAGCTGTCCTTGACCTTAGGTCCCTTTATCTCCAGCATTGGATTTCATCCCCTTTCATCCACATGCTCAAGAAACCACCTCTTCTATACTTATTCTTTCCTCTCTCATGCATCATCAAAATGTCCCTTTCTGCTGTATCATTTCCATGAACATATGAATGTACCCTTATCTTTAGTCTCTCATCTCTCTGCTCCCTTTTATAGAAAAACTCATTTAAAAAGTTGTCTCCATTCACTCTATCCAATTTCTCACTTTCCATTCAAATCTCTTGAATCCACTCCAGTGGACTTTGTCTTATTGAAATTGCTTTTGCCAAGACCAGCAACAGCTCCTGCTGCCAAATGCTGTGGCTAATCCTAGTCCTCTTTTTGCTGCTTGTCCTACCAAGAATAGAAATTTAGAAACTTCTTACACCTATGATTTTTACCACGATGGTGCACAGATGTGGTATCCATGTTTGTTCATTCTTCCTTTCTTCTTCTTCGTCTTCGTGTGTGTGTGTGTGTGTGTGTGTGTGTGTGTGTGTGTGTGTGTGTGTATGCCAGGGATTGAACCCAGGGGCTCTTAACCACTGTGCCACATTCCCACCCTCATCCCTCTTCTTTTGAGACAGGTTTGCTAAGTTGCTTAGAGCCTCACTAAGTTGCTGAGGCTGGTTTTGAACTTGTAATCCTCCTGTTTCAGCCTCCTGAGCTGCTGGGATTACAGGTGTGCACCACCAAGCCTGGCAGTTTCCACATTCTTGTGTATATATACCCTCTGGAGTGTGGATGAAGCCTCTGATTTGCTTTTAACCAATTGAAGATGGCAAAGGTGATATCATTTCACTTTTGTGACTACACCATGTTATATAAAATTTCATCTTAGTAGCAGACTCTGTGCAGGGCCTTTAAAACTTAGCTGGATTTTATAGAAATAAGTGGTCATGTTGTGAGGCCCACGTGGCAAAAAGCTGAGGATGGTCTCAAGCTGACAGCAACAAATCCTCAGTTCTACAACCGGAAATGAATTCAACCAACAGTTGAGCAAGCTTGGGGGACTCTTTATCAGTTGTGCCTCCAGATAACAGCTCAGTCAGCACCCGGATTTCAGCCTTGAAAGACCCTGAGTAGAGAACCCGTGTAAACCATGCCAGGCTCCAGAACTGTGAGACAGTAAAATGTGAGTTGTTAAGCCATTACTTTTGTGGTAATTTATTACACAACAATGGATAACCAATACAACCACTCATCTTTTTTATGTAGTCATTCGTTTTTTATGTCTGTTGCGTAAGTGCCTTCTTAAGTTGTATTTTTTAAAAACTCAGACATAATTTATGTGCCTTTTAAAAGGGTAGAAATAATTTTCACTTCCATAAAAAAACCTGCTTGTCTTGTTTTTACATCTTCATGGCTCTATTCCCAGGACCTAAAGCACCTGGTTCAATATATATATTCAGAATTATGAGTAAATTTAAAACTTTTCTTGAAAGATGCAGCTGTCTTGCTCTGAGATTTTGTTGGCCTATTTTCTAGAGCTGTAGGCCAACTGAGATATTTTCCTTTCCTTTCACTATAAAGAAAACAACATTGCAAGCCCAGTGATCAATAGGAAATAATTCTTTTCTGTCTTTGAAATGAGTGTATAATAGGGAACAGAGGCAATTGTGACAAACTGAGGATCAGTTACTCAGCTCTAGCTAGTGTTTGCTGTGGGCTGACTCTATGATATGAATATGGTTTGTCCTCTCCCAGACCCATGCTGCAATTCCCATGAGGCATTAGGAGGTATTAGGATGCAGGAACTTGAAGAGGTGACTAGAGTTTTATCCTCTTGAAAAAGTCAATCCATTCACCAAATATGACTCTTTGAACTTGAACCAGAATTGTAAGCAGGTCCTATGGGCTTAGTTTTGCCAAATTCTCTGTATTTCAAAATAAGAAATATGAAACCACCTGTTTGATTAAATTAAATTTTGTTAAAACCACACAGTGAAAAAGGAAAAATGTGTAGCACAACTTGGTACCCAGTTCTCCAATTCTGACTTATTTGTGGAACTCTGTGACACTGACCTTATGGGACACAAGTATGGTAAGACAGCAGGTGATTCCAACAAGATAGCTCCCCACCTTCCCAGATGGGTTGGAACCTCTTCACACAGTGAATTAGGAATAAAACTAGATCTCTCCTCTCCTGACCCTTCATGCCTGCCCAGACTGCATTCAGGGCCTTTAAAGAAAAGTACTGCCTTGAACCTCACCAGATGGAGTAAAATTGTGTCTGCGATGTAGACTGAGAATCTAACCATCACTCAGCTCTGCAGCCAAAATTCATCTATTTGGGTAGTCCCAAACACCTGAAAAGTGCAGAATTTAATTCACATTCTTGGATTGGTAGTCACCAACTGTTGACATAGGCAAATACATTATTATTTCAAGAGGAACACATATCTCAGCCCCTCCAAGAATTCACACAAGTTCCAAGGAACAGAAAAGCAAGGGAAAATTTAAATAGAACAAGGGGTTGTGCATGAGGCCATGGGTTCAATTCCCCAGCACCATAAAACATAAATAAGCAAATAGAATATAAAAGAAAATTAAAAAATAAGAATTATGATACAGACTACAAAGTATTTTATTTTAAATGTTTCGCAACCATAAAAATGAGCTTGAAAATATGTACAGTGTGCGAGGTATTGTAAAGAATGATTAGGACCAGATTCTTGTGTAATCCCAGAAGCTGAGGAGTTGAAGGCAGAGGTTTGCTAGTTCAAAGCCAGCCTCAGCAACTTAGTGAGGCCCTAATCAACTTTGCAAGACTCTGTCTCTGAAATATAAAGAAAGGGCTGGGGATGTGTCTCATTGGTTAAGCACTCTTGAGTTCAATCCACAGTCCAAAAAAGAAAGACTTGTAGTACAAAGAACATATCAACAGTAAAATAAAAAGTTGCATTTAGGCTATAACTGCTTTCTTAACAGCAACCACGGAAGTGACGAGATAATGATTGGAAATGATAATCTCAGTGTGCTGAGAAAAGATAAAATATATTTTAAGAAAAAACTACAAAATAAAAATATTTTCAAATAAAATTTAAAAGAACCTTATTAAAGTAAGTTTTAAGGCACAGATTCAGGTAGAAGGACTGAGATGCAATAGGAAGTGAAGAACGAGAAGGGATAAATATGTGGGCAATCTCGAGGCTAATAAAAAAGTATACTTCCTAAGGAAAGGAGACCTAAAATATGACACCAATAGTGTATAATTGAGTGTGTAGTGAAAGTACTCATCTTTTCTGGAGTTAGGGAAAGATACTGCTTAACTTTTCATTACCACTTTATTAATTTAAGCATACTTAAGAGAGAATAAAGTGTTTAACTTCCAAATTAGTAGAGGTTAAAGCAAAATAGAATAAGGGGAAAACATTCAACTGGTCCAAAAGAAGGCCAAAAAAAGGAGAGAAAAATTAATGTAATAGGTAGAACATATTGAACAAAATAAGAAGGTAGATATGACTGCAACCATGTATGTAATTGTAATATGTATAAATATAATAATTTTAAACTTATCACCAAAATAATGTCTATAAAAGACATCTAAAACATAAGAATGCAGAAAGGTTGAAAGTGAAAAGGATAGAAAAATATTTACCAGGCAATCTACCCACAGAAATGTAATATGACATGTTAATAAAAAAAAATTATTGCCATTGCCCTCGTTATTGTTTATTGAGCATCTGCTCTGTGTGAGGCAATATCTCAACCTTAATAGCCTCCTTCTAAGATAGGCATTTGAAAATCTTTACTTTGGGTGCAGATTTTACATGGACATTTGCATGTACAGTTTGAATAATGAGTACACTTGTGTGAACCACCCAGAACATGCCCTTATGCTTCTTTCCAGTCAATACCTCCCAACATACACAGCCAACGTCCACCAGTTAGATTCCTATCGTCTTAGTTTTGCCTGTTCATGAACTTTGTATGCATGAGATAGCACAGGACATATTCTACTCTTTCCAGCTTCTACAGTATGAAAGGCAGGTTTGGAGAGAGGTTGGAATAGGGTTGAGGGCCTCCCCACCATGTCTACCACTCTGTACTTTGAAACCAAGGAACTTCTACGACTAAGTGAGGGGGTCCCAGCCTCTCCCCCAATCATCTGACAAATTGTGACCAAGGAACCCTACAGTTTAAGTGAGGGGTCATAGATGAACCCACAGATTCTCACACTCACTACCAATCAGGGCCATGAATAAATGTTTGGGTCTCTCTGAGACTGTTTCACTTACGTAAAATGAGCTTCTCGTATGATATGGAATGATTCTGGGGCTGACCTGGGGCCCAGCCTATCCTCTTAGGCAGGAGGAATGCTGCTGAAGTTGGAAAAGGAAGACCAACAGGGCTGGAGGTTGAGAGATGAATTCTGCTCATCTCACAGTGAGGGACTGAAGCCCAGTCAGGAAGGCTCTTGCTGGTTGGTGGCAGAGCAGGATTCAGCCTTGTCCTTTTGGCACTGGCAGCCGGAGGCCTGCTGTCCCCTGAGCACACAGGCCTTTGTTACCATTGTGAGGTAAATGCCAGCCTGACCTCCCTATTCCTGGGGTTTGGGGCTTGGCCCTGATCTCTTAAACTGCCTGGCCCCCATCCTGAGCATATTCTTCCTCCACTGGTGCCTTCTTCTGCCTTCTTTCAGGAGGACCTATCAGTTGGCTTGTGCCAAGACTGAGATTAAGGAAGCTGTTGGCTGAGTCAGAGGTGAGGGGAGGGTCCTGGGAGGGCAGAAGCTGGAATCATGCTTGAGGATTGGTGGGGCTAGAACTTGAGAGACTCTGAGCTCCTAAGCTCTTGGGAGTGTCTCCCAACACCATCTGACTTTAAAATTCATGTTCCCACTTACACATGCATGCCCATGGTTAAATAAGGAATGGTTTTAACTAAAGGATTTATAATAAGAAGCACTTCTCTACCCAAAATTTCTCTTTCTGGGGCAATTCATCTTTTTTTTTTTTTAAATCAGTGGTTCATTTTAGCTATTCAGTTCTTCATCTCTCTGCCCAGTAACCTTATAGTTATGCTTATTAATTTATCAACATTACGTAAGATGAAAATGTACACCTACTCCACCTCTCAATATAAATATTTCATTGCTTTAGTGCTTTATTGATTGCTTCTGTAACTTTAAAATTATGTAAACATAAGGCCAAATTTCGTAGAAATTATTAGTATTTGTGTTAGTTTCCTATTCCCATTATAACAAATGACCCCAAATGTAGTGGAATAAAACAACATGAATTTATTTCCTTACGGTTCTGGAGGTCAGAAGTCCTAAAATCAAGGTGTTGGCCAGGCCTCGCTCTTTGCGGAGGCTCCAGAGGAGAATCCTTGATCCCTTGGCCTCTAGAGGCCTCCTGCTTTCTTTTGACTCATGGCTCCTTCCTCTGTGTTTAAAGCCATGAGATAGCATCTTCTCTCCTTTCTGAACTTCCCTCCCTGCTTTTATAAAAAAAACACCTGTGAACATAATAATAAGCTCACCCATGCAATCCAGGATAATCTCCTCACCTCAAGTTCCTTAATTGAATCACATCTGCTAAGTCCTTTTTCCCCCCTGGAGATAGGGTATTCAAAGGTTCTGGGATTAGGCCATCAGGGGATTAGTGAACATCTTTGGGGGCCATTAGTCTTCTTTCTACACCTTACAACCCAGTTTACCTGGGACACTTCCATTATATTCCTATTGTTCTGTAAAAATCATAATACGGCCCCTTTCAATCTCAAAAGCGTCTCCATTTGAATAAAAAAATTGTACGAGTACACTACCTATCCCCTGTTTCCCAATCTTTTCCACATCATAATGTGTAGAAAATGATAACAGTTTGAAGGGCCTTGGGAAAAAAGACCATTTAAGGCGCTCATGACAAGCAATAATAGTCTCAGGGGCTCCAGCTACCTTAGATCCTCTTGGCTACCCCAAGGGGCCAGGGTATCCATATCAGTGGCCTCCTGAGCCATCCTGGTACCCCACTGGCTATCATGCATCACTGGAGAAATCATCTTTATGTTAACACAATAAGATGTGTTTCAATTCTGTTCTTTATCATAGGTGAGCGGTACATGGTTCCAAGGAGAGGCTTGAATCTGGCTGTCACGTTTGTACTTTGGTGCTCTTGTCCTTGTGACCCTGCCCGTGGCTTGTCAAATGAGTGTTCTCTTTGGCATCATCTTTATATTATCCCTCCAGATCTGTGTCCCTGGGGAATCTTCCATTCTTCTGCCCTCTCTCAGGCATCAGATCATTGGCATTGGTGTCAGAGGAGTCCCATTTAACCATTGAATGGATGGAATCTTAAGTAGCTTGCAACATTTTCTCCTGGGATATCAAGAGAGTACCTATGTCTATGGCCTTTGTAACATTTTTTCTTTATATCTTGTTTGCCACATACTATTGGTAAAATATTTTTATCATCTTACCTCATTTCAAATCATCAAAAAAAGTCACCATAAGAGTCAAAATAATGTTTTGGAGGCAGAGGCACCGGTCAGCCACGCTGACCCGGCTCCAGCTGTTTTGATGTTGGTTGCCTTGGTAGCTTCTTGCTTGCAGAGCTGCTTTTCAGTCTTCAATTCCTTTGCTCATTTGCTTTACAAGATACTCTCTCCTACATCACTAGTACGTGATTTCCTGGTGGTGTCTGGTCTTCTCTATAACATAGCAATTTAATCTTTTCTTATTTCCATTAAGATTTTTTTCAAATTCACTTTTCAGCATGTGGACCACTTAATGATTTCTTGAATTATGTCTCTATAGCCTATCAACTATTTTAAATTATAACAATGATGAATGTTTACACTATAGCAAATAATTACCCAAACTACCCACAGAAATTCCATGAGTATGAACAATAGCATTTGCTCTCCAGATACTGACAAAAGGGTATGGGTCTTTCTGTGTCCCAAAGTGGCTGCTTTATGTCACTAGCAGAGTAGCACTGTTTACAATACAGCAGGCAATATTCATTCCTGGCCTCCAGTCTGGGAGGACCCTGCTTTGGTAAAGGGAGTACAGGAAGGGCCACCAACCATATCTGCTACATAGTAGCTCATAGGGCTGGCATGACAGTCAGTTAATAACAAAGAAGACTTGGTGTGGATCCTAAAACCTTGTAAGACACAAAACCTTAGAACTTCAGGGCAGGAAGCAGCTTTAGAGGGCAGTGCTCCCAGCAGGGTGGGATGGAATAGGGGTGCCATCAGTCACAGAATGTACTGAAAGATGGGGTAAGGACCCAAGGGGTCTTTAAAATAGAGGCATAGAGGGAGAAGGGACACTGAGCAGGGTTCATATGACATCTGAGGACCCACTACCCTTGAGGGTTGGATGGGTGGGGTGGTAAGAACAGAGACTAAATCCCTCACTGTTAGGTACAAAAAGATTAATTATCTGTATATCTCTCTAGCATATCCTTTGGGATATGCATTTAACATTTAGGTTCTAAATGTTAAATTTGTCAACAAACCAGAGAGGGAAGCAGGATCAAGTAGGGTTTTCAATCACACTTTCCAGGAAAGGAAACTGAAAGGAAATCAAAAGGTTTGTCCAGGCCACCCAGCCAGGAAGTGATGGAGAAAGGCCTTCTAGTTACCCTCTACCACACACCCGCAGGTACTGGACTAATACATAGCCTGTGGGTCCATGGCTGAAGGAGGAGCCCTTAGGGCAGGGGCTATTAGAATCCAGAGCAATCAGAATCTCCTGGTTAATGCAGATTGCAAGCTGCACTCCTGGGGGTTCTGATGTGGTAGGTATGGAATGTGGCCCTGGAATTTGTATTTCTAAAATGCCTAGGTGATGCTGATTCTGTTGTTCTGGAGCCCAACTCTGAGATGACTCTTTACCACAGCAGGTGTACCGTAAGGCAGCTTCCAATAGTATAGCTATAGCAGGAGATTGTTTTTAACATGCATCAAGGCCTCTAAGACTACCTATTAAAGTCTCCTGTTAGTCATCTTGTTAATGAAAGTGAAGGAGATACAGGTGGGAAGTAGCATTGGGTGAGACCAGATAATTGATTTTGCATTTTTTTCTTGTATATTTTTCCAGAGTTTATGTCTATACAAACAATAAAATATATCCCCTCAGTTTTATACAAAAAGTTGTATCACTGTTCTCTTCATTTGGTCTGAAGCACTAGTCCAGTATTTTCTTATTAATTTTCTGTTTGATGGTTCTATTCATTGATAAAAGTTGGTTATTGGAGTCCTCTACGATAATTATATTGCAGACAATTTATCCCTTTGTGTCCATGGATATTTGCTATATATCTATCTATCTATCTATCTATCTATCTATATATATATATATATACACACACACACATATATACTTGTTATACATGCATTACGTACGTGTATAATATATAATTGTAATGACTTCTTGATGAATTGTTCACTTTATAATGAAATAATAATTTTGTGTCTTGTGAATTAAAGACTGTTGGTGACATAGTTAAAAAAAGTTTTTTTAGTTGTAGATGGTCCAATACCTTTATTCTATTTCTTTATTTTTATGTGGTGCTGAGGATCCAAACCAGTGTCTCATACATACTAGGCAAGCGCTCTACCACTGAACCACAACTACAGCCTATTGTGACAAAAAATTTAAAGGAAAAATGTGCAAAGAGGAAAGAGGAGAAGCCTATATAATCCATATATCTTAAGCATACTGAAATGTTGCATTTTATTTATTTATTCATACATACATGCATACATTCATAAGAGGGATTGAATTCAGGGGCACTTGACCACTGAGCCACATTCCTAGTTCTAATATGCATTTTATTTAGAGAAAGGATCTCACTGAGTTGCTTGGCACCTTGCTAAACTGCTGAGGCTGGCTTGGAACTCATGATCCTCTTGCCTCAGCCCCTGGAGCTGTGTGCCATCGCGCCAGGCCAACCGATTTTTAAATTAAACATTTTAAAATATATTGAAAGATAGTGTTGGCCTACCCCCACAGTCTCATTTCAGTAGCAATCACAGATGAGGGTTTGTTTCTTGTAACAGGATGAGATTTTTTTTTAAAAAAAAAGATGTTTTCCTTACTATAAAAGCAATACATACTCATTGAGATGTGTTACAAACAAGATAGAAAGTGTAAAATTGGAACTATTGCCCAAGTCCACAACAGTGTTCTTCCGCTCCCCTTTAGATCAATGTCCCTCTTAGGTCCACTCCTAGTCCCACCCCTCCAGCTCAAAGAACGCGGTTGTTCTTGCAGTTGCAGAACTAGGTCGTCAGGTGGTGCTGCTGAGCAGACTCCGGAGCACAGAACAGGGGCCCGAGCCCGGTGTCACGTGACCCGAGCCTGGGGCTCTGGCACCTACATCACGTGACAGGGCCCGGAAGCGGCTGCCGGGGCTGCTGAAAAGGATGGCTAGGGCTCCACGCTGAGGCAAAGAAGGGTGGGCTGTGCCGAAGCTGGAGCCCGAGCCGG